TGGGGGTCGCGACCCCTTTGGGGGTCGAACGACCATTTCCCAGGGGTCGCCTAAGACCATCGGAAAACACATATTTCCGATGGTCTTAGGAACCGAGACACCGCTGCAGTCTCCGGCGATGTGTGGGCGGGATGATACGCTGCTGTCACCTGGCCACACCTCCGGGATCGCTCAGCAGCTCCGCCTCCTCGCCGCTGATTGGCCACCGGAACTGTAGCTCAGGAGAGGCACACAGGCGGCCAATCACCGGTGAGGAGGTGGAGCTTGGAGAGGAGGAGCCGAGCGGCAGCGCGCGTACATCAAAGAAGACCGAGGGAGCTGCCGGAGCGAGTGAAGAGGAGAGCGGCCAGAGAAGGAAGACAGCTGACAGGTAAGTGAGAGAGCGAGCCCAGGCTGGAGCAGGGGTCAGCATAGTAAGTATCATTGGTGTCAGTGGGAGGAATAGTGCCCCATCATTTGTGTCACTAATACCAACGATGGGGCACTATTCCTCCCCCCACTGACACCAACGATGGGGCACTATTCCTCCCCCCACTGACACCAACGATGGGGCACTATTCCTCCCCCCACTGACACCAACGATGGGGCACTATTCCTCCCCCCACTGACACCAACGATGGGGCACTATTCCTCCCCCCGACACCAACGATGGGGCACTATTCCTCCCCCAACTGACACCAACGATGGGGCACTATTCCTCCCCCCACTGACACCAACGATGTGGCACTATTCCTCCCCCCACTGACACCAACGATGTTGCACTATTCCTCCCCCCACTGACACCAACAATGGGGCACTATTCCTCCCCCCACTGACACCAACGATGGGGCACTATTCCTCCCCCCACTGACACCAACGATGGGGCACTATTCCTCCCCCCACTGACACCAACGATGGGGCACTATTCCTCCCCCCACTGACACCAACGATGGGGCACTAATCCTCCCCCCACTGACACCAACGATGGGGCACTATTCCTCCCCCCACTGACACCAACGATGAGGCACTATTCCTCCCCCCACTGACACCAACGATGGGGCACTATTCCTCCCCCCACTGACACCAACGATGGGGCACTATTCCTCCCCCCACTGACACCAACGATGGGGCACTATTCCTCCCCCCACTGACACCAACGATGGGGCACTATTTCCCCCCCCCCCCGACCCCAATGATGGGGCACTATTCTCCCCTCCACCACACTGACATCAATGATGGGGCACTATTCCTCCCACTGACACCAATGATGGGGCACTATTCCTCCCCCCACTGACACCAACGATGGGACACTATTTTCCCCCCCCCCCTGACCCCAACGATGGGGCACTATTCTCCCCTCCACCACACTGACATCAATGATGGGGCACTATTCCTCCCACTGACACCAATGATGGGGCACTATTATTCCTCTCACTGACACCAATGATGTGGCACTATTCCTCCCACTGACACCAGTGATGGGGCACTACTCCCACTGACACCAGTGATGGGGCACTATTCCTCCCACTGACACCAATGATGGGGCACTACTCCCCCCACTGACACCAATGATGGGGCACTACTCCCCCCACTGACACCAATGATGGGGCACTATTCCTCCCACTGACACCAATGATGTGGCACTATTCCTCCCACTGACACCAGTGATGGAGCACTACTCCTCCCACTGACACCAGTGATGGGGCACTACTCCCCCCACTGACACCAGTGATGGAGCACTACTGCCCCCACTGACACCAATGATGGGGCACTACTCCCCCCACTGACACCAATGATGGGGCACTACTCCTCCCACTGACACCAATGATGGGGCACTACTCCTCCCACTGACACCAATGATGGGGCACTACTCCTCCCACTGACACCAATGATGGGGCACTACTCCTCCCACTGACACCAATGATGGGGCACTATTCCTCCCACTGACACCAATGATGTGGCACTATTCCTCCCACTGACACCAGTGATGGAGCACTACTCCTCCCACTGACACCAGTGATGGGGCACTACTCCCCCCACTGACACCAGTGATGGAGCACTACTCCCCCCACTGACACCAATGATGGGGCACTACTCCCCCCACTGACACCAATGATGGGGCACTACTCCTCCCACTGACACCAATGATGGGGCACTATTCCTCCCACTGACACCAACGATGGGGCACTATTCCTCCCACTGACTCCAACGATGGGGCACTATTCCTCCCACTGACACCAACGATGGGGCACTATTCCTCCCACTGACACCAACGATGGGGCACTATTCCTCCCACTGATACCAACGATGGGGCACTATTCCTCCCACTGATACCAACGATGGGGCACTATTCCTCCCACTGACACCAACGATGGGGCACTATTCCTCCCACTGACACCAACGATGGGGCACTATTCCTCCCACTGACACCAGTGATGGGGCACTATTCCTCCCACTGACACCAGTGATGGGGCACTATTCATCCCACTGACATCAGTGATGGGGCACTATTCCTCCCACTGATACCAACGATGGGGCACTATTCCTCCCACTGATACCAATGATGGGGCACTATTCATCCCACTGACATCAGTGATGGGGCACTATTCCTCCCACTGATACCAACGATGGGGCACTATTCCTCCCACTGATACCAACAATGGGGCACTATTCATCCCACTGACATCAGTGATGGGGCACTACTCCTTCCACTGACACCAATGACATGGCACTACTCCTCCCACTGCAAAATTACAGTTATGAAGTAGCAATGAAAATAATTTTATGGTTGGGGGTCACCACAACATGAGGAACTGTATTAAGGGGTCGCGGCATTAGAAAGGTTGAGAACCACTGCCTTAGAAGGAAAAAAAGGCAAAACATTTACAGCCCACATCAAAACACAGTGTGAGTGTGGCCTGGGGCAATTCACCACAATATCTCTTCCTCCCCAAACCACCACAGGCAAGGACTTGCAGAAAATAACATGGCCTGTACAAGGAAAAAATCACCCACTACTGCAACTCTTTATATAACATAGGCCACACCCACCACTGTCATTCATTTGGTCAGAGAAAGTGTTTGCACCTGATTAATTCTCTTCCCATCTGCGTTAACCCTTGGTATACAGGCCCCACAAATCAGAGTCAGAAAGAAATCCACAGTGAAGTGTACCTGTGCAGCACACAACAGAACATTGAACAGGGATGTGAAAGGGAACCCCATTGGCAACATTTCTTGGCACTATGGGCACAATTCACTCCAGATTATCGCATGAGTTAAGGCAGTCACATGACCACATCTCGCATGCAATACTGAAAATGTCAATTCACTTTTGCTAGTATGCGGGATTTCCCATAAATCAGAAAAACACTCAGGAAATCAAACATAAAAAGGCCTTACACCCCAGTCACATCAAAGCTGATTTAGAAATTGTGCGACATACATTGAAGATGCCGATTTCCTTGTGATTTGCAAGACATCTGCCACAGATATCTATGTAAATCGCCACAAAAGTAGTACATGTACTACTTTAGAAATCAGTGACGGAAACGCACCCATGTGACTGCTCCAATAGCAGACAATAGGGTGCGACTTGGCATACGATTTGCAAGTCGCATGTCATGCAAATCACATGGCAAGTTGCACTCAATGTGACCGCTATTAGAGTGTTCATATTGGTGTGGTTCAAACTTGGTCGGAGCCGCAACAATTTCTAAAGTAATGAATACACTATAACAAAAAATGGTGAAGCGCTATGCAAATGCAACAAATCAGTGTATATATGTGTTGATTTGTTGCATTTGCATAGCGCTTCACCATTTTTTGTTATAATTTACACATCCTGAGGTATAGGGAATAGGTGATAGCAGCTGGCTATTAGGTAATTTCATAGTTGAGCGCAGGAGGATATTTAAATTTAATTAATGAATACACTACTTTTCATGCGATTTGCAGAGAGATCTGTGTCAGATGTCTTGCAAATCGCACTTTAAATCAGCATGTCCCCCGACTTTGAAATCATGTGACTTCACTGTAAGTCACATGATGTGACCGTAGTGTAAGTCGCACCACTTCAAAATCCGCTTTGATGCGACCGGGGTGGCCCCCAGTCACATCGTGTGCAATTTGGCATGCGATCTTCATGCTAGGCAACTTGCAAATTGTAGGCCAAGTGGCACCCTATTGTCCACTATAGGCTCCATTCATATCCAATCTGATTTTGAAATCGTGCAACTTCACTGTAAGTTGCCCAATTTCCAAATCGGATTAGATGTGACTGTGGTGTTAGCTCCCGGTCACATCGGGTGCAATTTGGCATGCTATTTGAAAGTCGCAGGGCATGCAAATCGCATGCCAAGTCGCATCCAGGGTGCACAATTTCAGGTGCAATTTGGGAATTGAAATTGTACCTGATATCGGATCTAATGAATGTGGATGTGAGTGTCTTAATGTAAGCAATTTGCTGTAGCACAATTTCAAAAGTAGTTTTGTAGCGATTTCACATATAGACTACAATAGAAATTGCAATGCAAAACACAATTGAAATTGCAATAACTCATTGGTAAATCTACAGAAAACACGGTGAAATTGCAAATAAAAAGCACAATTTCAACAAAGGAAATAAATCTTTGAAGGCATGCGGTATCTGCATGCTTGGATAAGGGTCTGTTATGGATTGGGAGGGGGGGGACTCCATGCCATTATTTTATTATTATTTTTTTTAAATCCTTTTCTCTCTCTCTCTCTCCCGCTCACTCTTCTCTTGGTTTGCTCACTCTTCTCTTCCCAAAAGGGGGTGGAGTGCAAACCAGCATTATCAAATCAATCATTAGTCCAGGCCCTTATCTCATCCCGTCATTTGACATTCACATAAGGTGCAACTTTAACCACCTCCCGCCTGCCATATAGTAACATGAGGGACGCAAGGTGGTTCTCTCGTTCTGGGAGGACGTCATATGACATCCTCCCATTCTCACCACGCATGCGCGGCTCAGGGAGCACGCAGAGCGGCGAACGGTGGTGCGCTGTGTCCCTCGGACACAGTGGATCACGGAAAGAGCCAAAGATGTCGGCTTGATCATGTGATCAGCTGTGTCCAATCACAGCTGACCACATGTAAATAGGGAAATGCCGGTTATTGGCATTTCTCTCCTCTCGAGCTGTCACGCTGATAGCTCGAGAGGAGAGGAGAGCCGGTAATCAGTTTTCCACGGAGCGGACATGTACACAGTGTGCCCTGATGATCAGTGTAGCCCCAGCAGTGCCTTGTGTCAGTGCCCATCAGTGCCACATCAATGCGACATATCAGTGCCTACCAGTGCACATCAATACCACATATCAGTGCCCATCTGAGCTGCCTTTCGGTGTCACCCATCAGTGCCACCTATAAATGCCAATCAGTGCTGCCAATCAGTGCTGCCAATCAGTGCCGCCTATCAGTGCCGCTTATCAGTGCCAGTCAGTGCCACCTATCAGTGCCAGTCAGTGCCACCTAACAGTGCCAGTCAGTGCCGCCTAACAGTGCCACCTATCAGTGCCATATATCAGTGCCATGTATCAGTGCTGCCTTTCAGTGCCCATCAGTGATGCCTGTTAAAGGGGGCTTCCAGATTCTGATAAGCCCCCTGCCCGCAGACCCCCCACAACCACCGGCCAGGGTTGTGGGGAAGAGGCCCTTGTTCCCATCAACATGAGGACAAGGTGCTTTGGGGGGGAGCCCCCCTGTCCCAAAGCACCCCCCCATGTTGAGGGCATGTGGCCTGGTATGGTTCAGGAGGGGGGGGGGGGGGGCGCTCGCTCGTCCCAACCCCTTTCCTGACCTGCCGGGCTGCATGCTCAGTTAAGGGTCTGGTATGGATTTTGGGGGGGACCCACGCCGTTTTTTTTTTACATTTTGGCTTGGAGTTACCCCTTAATATCCATACCAGACCCGAAGGGCTTGGTATGGATGGGAGGGGGGACCCCACGCCAGATCTTTTTTTTTTTTTTTTTTTTTTTTTATTGTAGACGTTTATTTTTAGATTCAGCTGTCAAAATAAATATTATCTAGACCTTCTAAATAAGTAAAATCATTACAGAAATAATTATAAAGGATAAGAAACAAAAACAGAATCAATAGAACTAAGGAAATCAAATTAGAATAGATAAAGGTATGCCTAGCTACAAATAGTGCTGTTTGTTAACCCCTTCACGCCTAAGGGTAAAACAAATCTAAATGCCTAAGCACAATTCTGCAACGTTGACGTGTTAGTAAAACCGTACATATCGTCACAACTACTTTGTACATCCAGGTGGATTATACCTTGTTTTTTTTCAGGACAAATTGGGCTTTCATTTGGTGGTAAATGGTCATGGATAGCTCCTAATTTTTTTTATTATTAAAGGAAAACTGGGCCAAAATAGTAAAAAAAAATCATTTTTTTAAATTTAACTGTGTGTTTCTTGTTACGACCATAACCTACCACCAAAGAACAACTCAAAATACATTCTCCAGTTCTTGACGATCGCAGCGATACCATATATGTGTATGTTATTTGTTGTTTGTACCCGTAGTACAGTCCAGAAACAACAGTGCGCATTTTGTTTTTCTCTTTTTTTTTTATATAAAACACACTGTCACTGACATTGACATTAACACTAACTGACACTGATACCAATTTTTTTTAATCCTGACCTTTGACCCTGACCTTTGCCCTTGACCCTGACCTTTGACCCTGACCTTGACCCAAACACTAACCCTGGTACTGAACTAGATCAAACCTTGATCTAGGTATTTTTCTTTATTTTTTCTTTTATTTTTTAATATTTATTTATCTTTTTTTTTTTTTTTACAAACTTTTTTTTCTCTCTCTGTGTCAGGAGTTCGAGAGATACAATGTATCTCTCTTCTCCATTCATAGAGAGAGAGAAAACAAGGGGGCCGGGCTGCACAGTGATTGATCACTGTGATAGCCAATCAGAGGCTATCACAGCGATCACGTGACCCGGAATCGGGAGTCCCGGGTCCCGATCGTTAGAACGGGACCCGGGGCTCTCAGTGACACCGCGGTCTTGGTGCTGGGAGCGCGCCGAGCGGCGCGCTCCCAGCACAAAGACAGGTACGCAAATATGCGGCCCCACGAAAAAAAGCCCAGGTCTGTGAGGCTGCATATTTGTGTTACGTTGGCGTCAAGGGGTTAAACACAGTAGACGCGATTGAGTGCCGTCTGTCAGTGGACTCCACACAGAGATTTACTATTGAACAGCGTCTAAAAAGAAAGTGCCCACGGCAGACATCTAAAATGTGTTCACATGCGCATTTATATCCGGCCATAGACACCGGAAAAGCGTCTAGTTCTTCACTGTGACGACTTGCTTTAAAATTTTTTTGAAATGTCAGATATTGTTTAAAGTGAAGTCCTGATATTTGGCAACACAAATTTCAATGTGAACATGTCTCTGCAGTGATTTTTCGTGGTGTTAGACGTGCTTCTTAGCACATCTGCTTTTTGAGTCTGATTCCTGGACTGTGGCTGGTTAATAAATTTGCTTTCACATCTAGTTGTTGACGCTTTCTTTAGTAAATGTCTTTGCCGTCTAAAAGTAGACAGTCGCTATTAAAAAGTAGACTTTAGCCCACGGAAATGCGCCTAGGCACGATAGTAAATCAGGGTCTATATGTCTTTCTTAAAGGAACGTTTTCAATTGAGTTTGGGAATGGAGGAGAGGAGAATGAGGAGTGCAGGTGGCATGTTAGGGTGAGTGGAGTGCTGGTCGGGTCGGGGAGGTTTCAGTCAGGACTTGAGGATGCGGAGAGTCTGTCATGCCATGACGGAGTTCATCTGTGTCCATCTGTAGGAGGGGAGTGAGAGTGGTGGGCGGCTGGGTCCGCAGCTGGCTGGTTGCAGTCTGTGGGTGCTGTAGGCCGGCATCCGTGGGTGTTGTGGCACGGCCTAGGTGGGTACAGTGGTTCGGCAACTAGGCGAGCCGTAGGGCGCGGTGTTTGGAGGTGTTGGAGGCCCGGCGTCTGGAGGTGTTGATGGCTCGGCATCGGGAGGTGGTGGAGGCCGACGTCTGGAGGTGGTGTGGGCCGATGTCCGGAGGTGGAATGGGCTAGGCGTCGGTGGGCGCAGTAGGGCCCGGCGTCAGGGGGTGCTGGAGGCCGCGTGGCAGGCTCGCCTCCGCCGGATAGAGCGGGGCTCAGGGCTGTGCGGTGGCAGGGGCACGGCTGAGTGGAACACGGTGGGGAGCAGGGAAACAGATGTGGTAGCTTACCCACTCGGGGCCGATGACGGCTTACCCTCTCCGTGCCGGTGGGGGTGGTTGCTGCTTCCCTTCTATCTGCGGCGGCTGTAGGTAGGGGAGATGGTGGTGGTTCCCCTCTCGTTGGCGCGGGCGGCGGCGTCCTGGTTCAGGCTAACCGCCAAAGCTAATGGCCATTACTCAGTCCTCCTCCTTGACCTCTCCGCGGCCTTCGACAGAGTCGACCACCCCCTCCTCCTTACTAAACTGCACTCCCTTGGCATCAGGCTGCTCTCTCCTGGTTCTCCTCCTACCTATCCCAACGCTCCTTCAGCGTCACCTATAACACTGCCACCTCCCCCTCTCTGTTGGAGTCCCCCAAGGCTCTGTCCTCGGACCCCTCCTCTTCTCCATCTACACCTCCTCCCTTGGCAAACTAATACACTCCCACGGCTTCAATTATCACCTCTATGCCGACGACACACAAATTTACCTCTCCACCCCCCACCTCACCCCCTCACTCTCCGCCCGCATCGCCCACCTCCTGAACGACATATCAGACTGGATGTCGCTCCATTTCCTCAAGTTAAACCTGTTCAAAACCGAGCTCCTGGTTTTACTCCCAGCCCGCGCCCCCCCCATCCTCTCCATCACTACTAGCAACGCCACCATCATTCCCACACGCCAAAGTCCTGGGTGTCACCCTGGACTCAAAACTTTCCTTCCAACCTCATGTCCAATCACTATCAAAGTCATGCAGGCTCCACCTCCGCAACATCTCCAAGATACGTACATTCTTCACCCCAGACACTACTAAACAACTCGTACACTCGCTCATCATCTCACGTCTGGACTACTGCAACTCCCTTCTCACTGGCCTACCCAAACAAACGCTATCCCCACTCCAGTCTATCCTGAACTCAGCGGCGACACTCATCCACCTCACCAACCGCTACATATCTGCCACCCCCCTCTGCCTATCCCTTCACTGGCCCCCGATTGCCCAGTGCATCAAATTCAAATGACTAACTCTGACCTACAAAGCCATTCACAACGCTGCCCCAAACTACCTAACTGACCTGATACCCAAATACCACCCTACCCGTGCCCTTCGCTCCTCACGGGACCTCCTACTCTCTAGCTCCCTGGTCTCCTCCTCCCATGCCCGACTGCAGGACTTCTCCAGGACTTCCCCAATCCTCTGGAACTCCCTACCCCAATCCATCAGACTGTCACCTACCCTCCTCACCTTCAGGCGCACCCTGAAAACCCATCTCTTCAGGGAAGCCTACCCCACCCTCACCTAACAACTGATCTCCTCCACTTCTCCCACCACTCCATCCCCCACAGCCACTTCCTCCTGTACCACTTTCCCCTCCCTCCTAGATTGTAAGCTCGAAAGAGCAGGGCCCTCGAACCCCTCGTGTATTGTATTGTTACTGTTTTGTCTCATGTTCTGTCCCCCTTGCTATTGTACAGCGCTGAGCAAACCCTTTGGCGTTATATAATTACTGTATTATAATAATATAATAATTGATGGAATAAGAAAAGTGCCCAAAATCTCAATATAAACTTGTGCATTTGATTTAATGACTGTCATCTCCTTCATACCTTTACCTGACATGTAACCTTATATCATCAATGGTTGTGGAAATTTGCATGTTTTCTTCAGGCAGTCTTCTTTATACATTTCATTGGAACTGCACCAAACAAAAGTTCCAGCATCATCACCCTGCTCAATGCAGATTCGTGATTCATCACTGAATATCACTTTAGTCCAGTCATCAACAGTATATGATTGCTTTTCTTTAGCCTGCTGTAACCTTGTTTTTTTTTCTGTTTAGGTGTTAATCATGGTTTTCGTTTGGCTTTTATATATGTAATCCCATTTCCTTTAGGCGATATCTTACAGTTGGGTCAAAGACATTGACTCGTTTCTGCTCATTTGTTTTGTTGTGCATTTTCTGTTTTCAAGGCATATTGCTTAGTTTTCTATCTTGACGCTTTGACGTCTTCTTTGGTCTACCAGTACACTTCCCTTTTACATCCTTCACATTTTATTTGTACTTGGTCCAGATTGTAGACACAGCTGACTGGGAACAACCATCTTTTGCAACATTCCATGATGATTTACCTTCTTGAAGTTTTATAATCCTCCCCTTTGTTTCAACTGACATCTCTTATGTTGGAGCCATGATTCATGTCAACCAGCTTGGTGCAACAGCTCTCCAAAG